TTTTCAATTTATACATCAAATCTAATAAATCACTTCAATGTTGTAATATTCATCTGTTTGCTGATGATACTCAGCTCTACCTCAGTTTTCTTCCTGATATGGTTCAGAATGCTTGTAACCAATTTTATTAAGGCTGCCTTTGATAATTACTTAAATATTAACTCTGATAAATCAAACATTGTACTCGTATTATTCGGTCCTAAAAGTAAAAGAAGACTAATGTTATTCTGTAGCAATAAAAGTTAATGATTTACCACTTAAAACGATTAATTAGGCATTAATTAGGTAGTGACTTAAGATTTGAAAAACATGTTAATCAACTTACAAAGCAAGTTTATTCAGTTTTAAAAATTATCTATGGAAACAGAAATTTTTTTCCAACAAATTTAACACTGTTATATGAGCAATTAGTACTATCAAATTTTAATTTTGCTGATGTTTTATATGGCCCATGTTTAACCAACCAGTTTCAATAAAAAATTTAAAAGCTACAAAATTCATGTATGCAATTAATTTTTGGAATTCATAGAAGACAACATATATGTCTCATAAATTACAAGAAATAGGTTGGCTAAATATAAACAATAGGAAAACTTTACATATGGCAACTTTTTATCACAAAATAATTTGTACAAAAAATCCCTATATACTTACATAAGAAAATTACTCATTTAACTGATGTACGTAATATTATTGTAAGGTCTAGAGGGCTTTTAACCCATTCTAATTTTCGATTAATACTCCTCAGATGTAGTTTTAGTTATCAAATAGGTTATGTTTATAAGGATATACCAGTATTTCAGATCAGTTACACTTTTTGAAGAAGAACTGCCAGGAATTTTTAACTGCTTCCCTTTTTTTATTATCCAGGGTTTTTTTCACAAAGCAGGTCTATTTTTGAGTAGTGAAATCAAAAATTAACCGTCAATATTTTTAGCCATTTTGCTAATAAATTACATTCCACAGGATCCACCTTATACAATAAATATTATACGATTACAATTGGTTTTGTGTGAAAGGGATTTACGTCAATTCATCGCGCTACAATTCATCGTGCGACAATGCATAGCCGACATTTCATCGTGCGACAATTCACCGCTACGACAATTCATCGCTACGACAATTCATCGCTACGACAATTCATCGTCACAATAATATTTTTTTATTATAATCAAAAATTAAAACTTTTTTTTATTATAATATAATCAAAGGCTCATTTTATTTATTTTTAATTTTTTTTTCTAACAAAAAACAAGTTTTCTTAGAAAATATATATAATTACAAAAATTATGGTATAATTACATTTTACATTGGATTAATTTTATTCAGAAAATCTTTAGTTTTTCTATTTTCCATTCTTAATAGGTCATCCTGTATAAATCTAACTTTTATTTAGAGAAGAAATGTTTATTTTATATTTATGGCGATGAATTGTTGTAGCGATAAAATGTCTCTGAATTATCGCGCGATGAATGGTCGCGCGAAGAATTGACGGAAGACCGTGTGAAAGCATTCATTTGATGCCGTTTAAAACTGTACGGTGGTACCCAAACGACAACGACACAATATTTCGTTGTCGTCCTGTATGAAAGGTCTCGTATATTTCTTTATTGCACTAAAGGAATGCGTTCGTACAACTTTTTATCGTACGACTGAAATCGTTGTGTGTGAAAGGAGCATAACAGTAATAAATGTTGATGAAGTCTTGTGCGGATTTAGGAATTTTTTGTTTCATCAAGAAGTTAAACAAAATTCTTTAATAATTTATAAAATAATTTATGCCGATTTAAATTTAAATTTAATTAAAAAAAAAAAATTAGTTCAAAAATTTATTTTCAATAGTTAGTTATTAAGTAGGTGCCTAGATACCAAATATTTATCAAATTTATCAAATAATTCGTTTTAAGTAGATATTAAATATTGTGCAGGATATATAAAGATTATATATGTCATAAAAAAATTGCGAGAGATAGTGTGTATTTATAACTAACTCAAGTGTTTATAAATTTAAAAATAATGTCTTAGATATGATTATTGCGGTGTCTTACTATCCTTTCCTGCTGCTTCGGTTAAAACGGTCCGGCAGAAACGGACACCCGGACACCCTAGAAAAATGGACAACACATGCAATGGAATATAAGAAGTACAATTATGCCGGATATTTTTGAGAAAGAAATATAAAATAAAGTTTGTGTTAAACAAAATGTTGACGAAAAATAAAATATACGAAAGAATTGCGGAAAATAATGAAGAATAGAAGATTAACAGAAAAGGAAAGAGTGAGGACGAATGTGAAAGATAAAAAAAATTAGAAGGGGACGAAAATTTGGAATTTTAAAACTAGTTGAGAACACGAAAATGAACTAGATAAACTAAATAAAATATAAATAGATAGGTCAATAGTAAGTGTGAGAGTGGACATATAGATTATAAAATGGAAAATGAATATGTATATTGCATTTAACAGATCAAACACTATGCACCTATCGATTGCCTTGCCTTTAAATAAAAAGATGTATGAATACAACTAGTAATTTTATTTAATATAATTTAGATAACATAAAATAAGTATACCACTTTTAAATAAAATACAAGAAACAGCTTTCTTTGAAAATGATTTTGGATAATTTAGTTTTTACGTATATTTTAAAAATGTTTATAAAATGCTTTTAAACAAACCTGCGTGTTTTACATTATTTGTTAACTTTAATTTTATTATTTACCATTTTCAATAGTAACACTTATATTTAATCAGTATAAATGTTGGAAACACGCAGGTTTTGAGATTTTTCCCTGAATAGGATATATCATGAAATACTAAACAATATTCAAATTAATAGAGTCAAAAAAAATCAATTTACGTTGTTTTGCCAGGAAAAAGTACGTAATTCAAAGCAAATAAATCTGTAAAATACATGCACACAATATGCGTAGAAAATACGGTGAAGATTATAAAAAATGTATAGTTTAGGCTTATTTTTTATTCTTGAACTAATCTTAACATGTACCCTTCGTGCATATAATTTAATTGGTAAACTGTATACTCGTGGTGGGTCTCAGGGGACCCACCGAGGTCAAAATTGTTGCAATCTAAGAGTTAGCATTTTAAAAGTCAGTCTGCAAAAATTCTATATGCAAAATACTATTCTACTATTACCAGATATAAATAGGTCTTGGGCAGCCAAAAAAAGGTGTTCTAGTCGTTTGTACTTGCGCCTTATGTTTGTGATTAACAAACAAAAGAACAAAACAAAAAAGTCGCTGGTTGGACCTAATAAAAAAAATATTAGTATGGCCCCCACCGAAAATTCAGTATAGATCCCTTAATTCAGGATATAACTTTTGAATATAACAATTCTTAACAAATAAGATTTATAAAATGATTCAAATTTCTATGTTAAATTCAAAATTTTACTATATAAACAAATAAATAAAATTTCTCAATATCTAACTATGTTATGCATATATTTAATTCAAACATTCATGTAATGTACCTCTAATTTGTTGATGTCAATACCACCAGGTAGTATATTATATTAAATAACGTGACAATAATTAACAGACATTTTCTCATAAACAACAAACGAAAACGAACCATTCTAATTACCCGCTATTTTACTGGAAGTTGCTGGTTACAAATAAATAGCCAAGAGGCTTATATCACGTAATGTTGGACTTTTTTTTTAACCTCTTTTTACCTACAGCTGAAATACTAAATGTCGGCTTTCGTTTTTACTTTGAATTGCTTTGTTTAAAATTAATTTATAATGAAGATTGTTACCAAAAGTGCCAACGTCTTTTGTTATTTAAGAAATTGGCAATTTAATCAGTTAAAGGAACAAAAATGTATTCTTGTAATAATTTTAAATCCTTAGATTCTTTTAATGTTTTTAGTTTTTATTTTAAAAAGGAAAAATTATCAATATCTAATATTTTCATATTTAGAATTTAGAACAGCTAAATAACATACAAATAGGCAATAAAATGTAAATAAAATAAAAAGCTTGGAACACACGTGAAAACATCTGAATTTGGTAGGAAATGCCTTATTTTTTGTAATTTCTTGAATATTCGTGTAAAAGTAAAAATATTTCAAAAACATTATTAAAGAAATAACACCTATTATTGAAATGTAAAACAAATCAAGCTTGAAAAAATAAACGTTGTAAAATTATGTACATATATACGCTAATAATAATATAAACACTAATAATAAAAATAATAATTAAAATACACCATTTAAAAAAATTCATAAAATTTAAATACATCCAAGGAAGGCAATTTTTTTAACTAAGGTTGATGCTTATCGGTCGCTTGCCCAATAATTTTAAACGTAGGTATGTATTACTATATTATAAAATAAAACAAAAGACAAAGTCAATGTTTCTGTCTTTCATTTAACTTTGACCCAATTACTCATCGAAAGGAAAAAGTAAACAGTTGTTAGCAATAACAGAATTTTCTTGATCGTGATGTCTATGCGGTCTCTAGAATTACTACCTAGTCCGCAATTTTAATTTTCAGTACTGCCAAAATTGACCAGCTGTGCCCAAGTGACAAAATGATCTTGATAAAGTCGGAAGTATTTAAATGTAAATAATTTAATGTTCATTAACAGCTTTACAAGCAGCGTTGCTGAAAATATATGTATGTCATTAAATAAGAGTTTCTATTTTAGTTGGCCCTGATAATATTTTTTATTTCCGCCTCTTTTAAGTTCTTTATGGATTATCTATTATCTGTCTAATCAGATTTTGATTTCGAAATGAACTAAGTAAATTAATTTTTGTACGTCCACATGACTATTAGCTTATCTACGCACAGACTATAAAACAAAAAAGTATGCCATTGCTTCAACTGAACGAATATATTTCATATCTATTCTAACTACTAAGAATACAAAAACAAAAATAAAATCCATCCATTTCAGTGACAATTCTGTCAAACTAATTGTCAGTTTATTTATTAGTTATTGAGATTAAAATTCGAGAAACGCTAAAATGGTGGTTCCCACCTTATCGAGACTGAGGCCCACAAGGGTAAACTCGTAGCGTAACAAAAACAAGAAATGATTTAACTTGGAACGAAAGACCGAAAGACGATAGTAGTATTAGGACGTTGAATTTTTTTGTTTGTGAAGCATTGGCATTACTTAGGTTAAACCATGTAATGATTTTCACAAGCCTTGATTTTTAAAACTATTCTATAGCGCCTTCTGATTAGGGTTTAAAAACTTGATCGAGCAACTTATCCAATAATAATTGGCCCCTTTACCTCTTAAGCCTGCTCATGTAAAATATTTGGGCTCCTTACTTCGCCTATTTATATTCTATTAATAAAGGACAGAATAATAAGTATTGCAACTATGTTAAAAGAAATAAATTTGCTTTCAGTTCAGAATTATGTTCAGTACATGACTGATATTTATTTATAAAATAAAAATGACAGTACCATCGCATCAGATCTATTAGAAAAAATTAAATATAATTCGTATTATCACAACTATAATACAAGAAGCAAATCTGACTTTCAAGTACGGCAAGCCATCAATAAAAGTTCCCAAAATATAATTTTTATCAAAAAATTTAATAGACTGCCTACAGAAATTAAAAAAAAAACAACAATAAATGTATTCAAAAGTAACCTCAAACAATACTTGATAAATAAACAGAACGGATATTCTTTCTTGTGATAATACTCTTTAAACCTGCCCTTTTTAATTACTTCCCTTAATTCATTATTATTTTACCACTCTTTTTACTACTTACTATGTTTAAATTATTAATAGTTTTGAGACGATAGTTTATAGCAACTTATAGCCACAAAACTATTTTTGTGTTACAGTAGATCCATACAGAGCAATGTAATTTACAAAGGCCTTCTTTCAACATACAAATAAATTGCAACTTTATAATTAAAATGAAAACACAACAAAATACCTCGGTATCATAATTGATCAAAATTTGAAATGGGTTGATCATATTACGTCATTAAAATCCCAAGGTAAGAAGATTAATTTTTAAATTTTATTAATTGAGGAAATTTATGACTAGGAGTTTTCTAATTATTATTTACAATTCGCTGGTTGAATATGTAAACCAGCATTATATCATACCTCTCTTTTATATAATAAAAAAGTGCTTTGTATAAGAACATTATATTATCTGTCCTGATGTACCGTTATTTATGGAAAGCTTAATTAATTTGCAATAAATATCAAATGAAGCATATATTTTTAAATTATTTGACATTTAAGAGCCATTTACACATCACAGTTGATATCTTGATAATTGACAGGCACAGTCAAGCAATATTCTGATTTTTGCTAAATAAAATGGCCGTTCAATTATTCTATGGGGTTGCGACAGAGAGCCAGTAAATTTGATGAAGGTGTTTCTGTGGCTAGGGGCGGAATACTAGTACGCTTAAGTTAGCACCCCCATAAAAAGTAATTTTTAAGAAACTGCTTATTTATTTTTCGTAAATTGGCAGGCTAGGCGACTAATTTCGACTGAAAATAGCCTTCAAAATGGCTATAGTTGCAAATATGAAGGTCGCAAACCACCTTAGAAATTTCACCTTTACTATCAACAGCTGATGTTTGACAGGTCGTTACAGAATGTTTGCAATTTATGGAATGTTGACGTTAGAAATAATTGGAATTCCTAAAATTGTCACATAAGAAATGCATAAGCGGATTTTAAGAAAATTGATATTAAAATAAATTCTGAAAATCAATAGGGTTCTAAGTTAGAAGTAATTATTCAAGAAAATCAAAACCGCAAGTCAATCAGAACTTTCGTTCCAGAGTTATTGTGCCGGCATACATACACACAGACGACCCTAATCAGAAGGCGATATAGAATGGTTTTAAAATCAAGGCTTTTGAAAATCATTACATGGTTTAACCTAAGTAATACCAATGCTTCACAAACAAAAAATTTTAACGTCCTAATACTACTATCGGCTTTCGGTATTTCGTTCCAAGTTAAATCATTTCTCGTTTTTGTTACGCTATGAGTTTATCCTTGTGAGGCTCAGTCTCGATAAGGTGGGAACCACCATTTTAGCGTCTCTCGAATTGTTTTTATTTTTATCCTCACAACGTATTCTTTTTTAAATGCCTTGATAGGTCCCTAGGCGAGAAGCGAGTGTCCCCGTTTAATCTTCCCATTTGAAATATAATATTTTAATTTGTTTTCTTTCTATTCTCTGTTTAATGATGGATTTTTGTAAATTTAACTCTTTAATTTTGTGACTGGCTGTATGACGGACCAATAATCTATGCCAATAATAATAATAATAATAATAAAAAAACGTCCTTTTTTTTCCTAAACCATCAACATTCGGATAAAATATGTTGGAGTCAATAGTTATTATTTTACCAGTTAGGCAGTTAATGGATTTCCCACTAAATATAAAGGCTCTAGTAGGAAAATGTTCCTCGAAAGTTCATTAAAGGTGCGAGAACCATTGCTTTTTTAAATTTGGGCGGAGGAGCCCAATGATATTATGTATTGTAAAAAATTAATATATTCTCACCCACCAATAAATTGAAAACTAATACGTTCGCTCCAACAGCAGTACAGAACCATTCCGAACTTATCTTCGCATGAGCAGTTAGATTTAACGGGTCTATTTTTCGTACTACTCATGCGCAGATAAAGATAAATTCCGAACGGTTCTGTACTGCTGTTGGAACAAATCTAATAGTGCCCATTAACTATTTTTTTTAAATACTGATATTATTCTTGTCAATTTTTCTAATTACATTTTTTATTTACAGTTTCTCGACTTTGACAATTTACCAGACACGAATTTTTCTTGTGTTGGAAAGGTCATAGGTGGTTATTATGCAGATCTGGAGACAAACTGTCAAATGTTCCATGTTTGTACTATTGGCCAACTAGATGAACCAATGGATATTAGATTCTTGTGCCTGAATGGAACAGTTTTTGATCAGGTAAAAAAGTTTTGTTTGTAATCCGTTCAATTTTTTGTTTTTAATTAGCTATGAAGATCAAACATCGCCCACACTGTTACTAGTAATATTGATATTGTCAAAGTTCTTTTTGTTTGCAAACAGCCCACCAAAAATGTAACGTTGCCACGTTAATGTCCGTTTTCCCTTGGATACTTATTATAAACCGATTCATTGATGAATTTCGTAAATATCTGTAATACTTTATAAACAATACAAAATGTATTTTTAAACGAAACAAAATTCATATTTTTCACTTCAATACAAATAAAAAGGTTCCTATAATTTTTTTAATAAAATATTTTAGAGAGGAATTTTTAAATTTAAAAAATCACTATTTTGACGAATTTTAACAAATTTATAAAAATAATAATTTTTTTTATATTTTTTAAAATGTAGTTGGTTGTAATGTAAATTCTGTAACACAAAATTGGTCCAAAACATTTGATCGTTTCGGAAATTTGATCGAAAATATATTCTATCGAAAGGCATTTGATTGAAATAGACGTGATCGAAAATACAATAGATAAATCAAAAAAATTCGTTAGAAATAACGGAAAATAATAGATTAAAAAACATAAATATAATGTATATTTGTTTGGAAAACTATATTTATACAATTAATATTAATTCTCGGAAATAATGTCTAGGTATTCTATAAGGTAAATTTAGACGGAAAATTTAATCAAAAATTGTTTTTCTTCTAACTGCTTAACTAAAAGAATAGATCAATGTTTTCTTGTTAAAATAAACACCATTATTAATTGTTTCAACGTGAATAATATTGAAAACTCCAATGCGTTGTTATAGTCCATTATGAAAACCATGCAAACGTATGTCTAATACCTATTATGAAAGAAACTTAACTCAGCGGTTATCGTCGATTCTTGGCTCTTTAAGGACTTTTTGTCCTTACAATACTTTTTCCAATTTGGATATACAAAGTTACATTTTTTGCAATGGCAGCAAGTGTCAAAATAATCTACTTTATGCAACCAGTTGCATAATGTTGTACATTATGAAACTGGTTTCGAAAAATTCAATGTCACTATTTGCGAAAGAAAACAAAAATTAACCTTTTTGCATATGCAACTATAAATACAAGAAAATAGTAATATTGGTTGCCTAGATGTCAGTATTTTTTACATAACATTACAATTAATCTAGTCAAAATTAAAAAAATATTGTGTGTAACACAATACGAAATGCCGTTTTAATGTATCTCGTTCATGTTGCGGGACCTTGCATTGCTCGTCCCGCAAATATTCACTCGTTACCTAAAATAAGGCATTTCGTAACTGGTTTCATAAATAGTTACTTATTAATTTACTAATTATTATTATTATTATTTTTAAAGCTATAGGATTATTTATCGTCATTAAGATTAAAGCATTATGATCAATTCATTTAAAATATATATTTACCTATACCGTAATTTTAAAACTTTTCTTCAATAATTAATTTCTTTAATAGTTAATTTTTATTATTTTTTTATATGATTTATTGTTCGATTATTTGATTTTTCAAACAATTATTATTTAAATCAAATCTTTCCTCGATATTCTTTTCTATTATTATTTTCGATGATTCATCTTTTCGATCATTTATCTTTTCGATCTTTTTTGTTTTCGATCAATTTTTATTCAATGAATTGTTTATATTAGGTTTGTTCCAATAGCAGTCCAGAACCGTTTTGAATTTGCATGCGCATGTGTAATATTACTTAAATATCCAAAAAATCGTACTATACATGCGCATACAAATTCAGAATGGTTCTGCACAGCTGTTGGAACAAACCTATTATTTGTTCAATATACATTCCATACATATGTAATGACTATTGATGAAGGTTTAAATAATGTCAAAATGGGCTTATGCAGCAAAACGCTATTGTATCTTTTTTGTCAAAATAATTTTTTTTTTATATTTTTTAGGAAACCCGCGTCTGTGAAAGGATAGACGAGGTTGACTGTACAAAATCTGAACAATTTTATAGTTTAAATTTAGAATTATATGGACATAGTCAATCGTCTAATTTAGAAGGTAATTTATATTGTATTATTTATTTTCAGTATATTATTTTTTTCAAACTACAATCTAATTAATTTTTTCTTCAGGTTTTAATTCTTTTTTACTGAGTATTTCTTATTTTTTATAACTCTGATCTATTGATAAATATACATCCGAAACGTCTGAAAAATAAATAGGTAATATCCTTTAATAACAAAATACAAGTCATCTTAATTCAAAACAAGAATGTAAAAAGCTTTATTAAATATATATAAAATTTTAAAACTCTTTATGAAAACGTTGACCTAAAGGGTATTTAAGCCAACTTCTAACGTCACCCCAGTGAGCGTAAGGATGATACTCAAAAGTATTAAATGTACAATCCCATCCCATTTCTACGTTGAAAGGTTAGTGGGTTTTATAATATCGAACGTTTCCAGCTTCAAAAATAAGTAATAATATCAGAACGGTTGGAAACTTATTAGTAGGCTACGATTTTGAGTAAACCTTTATTTTTATTATAACTCCTGTTGTAGAGGGGTTTGACACATTCTTTAATGTCAACGTACATTTTATTCGCCTGACCGTTTCCTAACTTTCATATCCATATCTTCCATTCCAGATATAAAATAAAGCAGGAACACCTTTTTAAAACTGCACATGTGAAAACTTTAAAATAATGAAGCTGGATTTCTCTATCTTAAGGAGGTTATGTAAATATGTATTCCGAATGTACAAGGGAGCATCCACAATATTATGTCAGAGAACTTTATGTTAAAATTTATGGATGGTATTTATATTAGTTGGCTTAACATGACTCCTAAGTTATATGTCATAAGTACAAAATTGTTTTAAAAGTTGTTTGTCGATCATCAGTATGTTGTGTAGTGATAACTGTTGTTATTGTGATAAACCAGTATATTTTTTTATTAATATGAACAAAGGACGCATCCTAGCGTCGAGAGTCGTCGCTCCTAGCGCCGACAGGTGCCGCAGCGGTTTTTTCTTTTTCTTTTTAAGTTTTAAGTATCAAAAGAAATGAAAAAGCCAGAATTTATTAATCTACTTATTAATGTAAGTCTAAGACTCAAAAGAAAGACAATGATTTGAAGATTGTCCGAGAATTGCTTAAAAGTGGAGTCAGACCTACTAGACAAGAGATAGCTAGATATAGTGGAACAATTAAAGGGTATTGGACTCAGTGGGATTCCCTGTATCTTCAGGATGGCCTATTGCACCGGAAGTGGGAGAGCCCTGATGGAGTACATGCAGTCCACCAAGTGATATTGCCGAAATCACATGTCAGAAGTGTGTTGCAGGAGCTCTATAGCAGCCGTTCAGGAGGACTTTTTGGTACTAAAAGGACGCTGGCACAAGTTCGGGAAAGATTTTATTGGACGAAATTTTGAATCTGATTTATGGCAAGAATTGATGAAGCTGTTATTCATCAGGAATACATGCCCACAGTCCGACGGAATGGTAGAAAGACACAATAGAACCATATGTCAATATCTTTCCATGTTCGTGTCTGAAAATCAAAATAACAAACACTTTAATTCCCCTTTTCCTGCTAGCATACCGAAGTTCTGAACATGAATCGACCAGTTATACTCCATATATGATGATTATGAGAAGGGAGATGAAGCTTCCCCATGATCTTCTATTTGGAAGGCAGCCTCATGATGAAGAAGAGGGCCGTACACTTCCCACATACGTACTGAACCTAAGAGGTATACGAATTCGCTCGGCAACATTTGAAAGTCAATAGCGATAAAGCAAAAGCTAGAATCGACATGCACGCCACAGGGACACATTTTGAGAGAGATGATCCAGTATGGCTGTACAATCACAGACGCCGAAAAGGACATTGTCCGAAATTGCAACGAAACTACACCGTCCTCGAGAAAATCAACGACCTGATCTACCGCATTCAGTTGTCAGTGAGAAGTAAGCCCCAGGTAGTTCACATTGAAAAGTTATCGCCATACCGTGGTCCAGATCCTCCCCGGTGGCTCCAACCAGGTCCCAGAAATCAAGTTATTGGAAGCTGCGGTCGTCAAAAGTAAATGTCATTCCTTGTCAAAGAAAAATCGGGATTGTTCGAGAAGGTTGAGGCAAGCTATATAAGTCGACGACCTGGCGTCAAAGTTTCAGTTTTATTATAGACGTTATACGTTAATGTTATCAGTTGTATGATTTTTTTTTAATTTGGTGTCATCGGCATCGACTACTGAGGCCATTTGCCTCGTGTTCTCTGTAGGCTTTGTTACTGTTTCCGAGCGCCACTTTAGGAAGTAAGGAATCCTACCAAGGCATCAGAATTAATTTTAAATAATTAAATAAAAAAATCCCGGCCAACGGAGGGATTCGAACCTGGGGCCCTTGGATCCACAGGCAGAGACTCTACCACTGAGCCACCCATCCCTCCAGTTGTATAACTATTATTGTTAAAGTTGAGTTGAAATAAATTGAGATACCAAAAACCTGCGTAACAATAATAATTATTGTAGGTTCTTTTTTATATAAAAAAAGGATTTTGATTTTTATTAATCGGTTATTGTCAAATAGTATGTGGTTAATTTATTATTTAAAAAAAAAACAATGCTTCTTATTTTTTTACTGGACTGGCGCGTTGCCGATTTAATTGACTTCCCGCGCCGGTTCAAGGGGTCCCATCCACCCATGTGTTGTAACGGTTGGAACCGTAAGCTGTAAAATCTATCTCTGTACTTTGAAATACAAATTTTTATCTTATAGATAGATTACATTTTAATATTATTTTAGATATTCCTGAGACTGAACAACCCCTAATAATAAAATCGACGCCAACCACGACAACGACGACAACAACTCCACCTACAAGAAAGACCACCCGGACACCATTTTATACTTCACTAGCTCCTCCAACAGCAACTACACCTCGTACAAACCACCATCACATCTCAACGCACCACTTCCCTATTCTCAACCCGAGCGCCTCGGATATACGTTTCAATCCCGAAGAAATCAACATCAGTCTACATCCAGGCGCACCTCCGGATATAAGGACTAAAGGACCTATATCTTATTATAGTGACAAAAAAGTAACTAATAGTAATACTAATAGTGATAAACATTTAGTAGTGACTACGCATAGTGGGGTGTATACACACGAGGGTATTGAAAATTCGGGCACTAGCACTCAGAAATCTCATAGATACAATTCCGGGACTTCTAGTGATTTAAGTGGATATGGCTTCACCTACAGGCATGAGGATTCTGGGGAATATACGGAACCTCCAGAAAGTTACAGGATTCGTACCGAGTTTAAGCCTAGTCAAGAGTATGCAGGTGAGTTTTTTAAAATTATTTATCACATATTGTTTTTATAATATTATAAACAGCAATCAGAAAAATACATTCGATAAGCTATTTTGATGTCATGGAATCCTGTAGAATTTCGATTCATAAATGTTCTGAAATTTATTTTCTCCCACTTCATTTAAAGTCGATTGGCCAACATAGTTTTAGTCTCTTGCGGTCTCTGTTGTCTAGAAGGGAAAGAAGGAGTGCATTGGAGTGGTGTTCTAATATGTCTAGTGCTTCTATTAGTCCAGGGCATTTAGATCAAAATCACCCGAATAGCGGAACTTTGCTCATACACCAGATATCGAGATGCGGTTGGTTTTCTGCATTGTGTTCAGGAAGGTCCAGGGAAAAAAGATTACATGGTCTGGTTTGGCGCGTTTTTAGAAAAATGTCTTTTGGGCCGGAAAATGCATTTTCCAATTGCATCATAACTTGCACCATTATAGGAACGACTGGAAACTCGAAAAAATCGCTCGGAAATCATTATTCGGGGGTTTTCGGGGCTGCCGAACTCGATTCTGGCATTAGAATTACCCGGTGGTGCACGGGGTGGCTCTGTGGGGGTGTGCGAGGGGTGAATTTGGAGAGAAATAGCAGCGTGCATGAAAGTCGCTCAAAACTCGTTACTCGGGGGGTTTTCGGGGATGCCTAATTCAATTCTGGCATTGGAATTACCAGGGGGTGCACGGGGGTGGCTCTGTGGGAGTGCGCGGGGGTGAATTGGGGGAGAAATGGCAGGGTGCATGAAAGTCGCTCCAAACTCGTTACTCGGGGGTTTTCGGGGATGCCTAATTCAATTCCGGCCTTGGAATTACCCGGGGGTGTTCGAGGTGGCTCTACCGGGGTGCCCGGGGGCTGATTCGGGGGCGAAATTGCAGAGAGTCCATGGAAATGGTTCGAAAATCATTACTCGGGGGTTTTCGGGGATGCCAAATTCATTTCCAGCGTTAGATTTCCCGGAGGCGCTCGGGGACCCCGCTGTGGGAAATGGTAAAGGAGAAAGTGAAAAATCACAAATTATGAAAATAATACTTTATTCAAATAACAAATAGGAGTTTTTATTAATGTTGAATTATTCATTATCAACTTCAATTTTTAACTTAAATACTAAACATCTTGTTCAAACTCTTTTTCCCCTTCTTTATCTTCTCCCCCTTTCTCATCTTCTTCCTCGTCGCTATTCTCAGCCCCGTTGAAAGTGCCTTTTTGGTTTGAGCAATTGCCATCGCAATGCTTGCATAAAAGTGAGCACTTCGGCGGCACCCGCACCTCGTGCAACAGTCGGTTTCACAAGAACAAGAAATTTTGCTTGAAATTTCCTCGGGACCGGCTTCGTGGGTCATGGTCACAGGACTGAGCTCTCCATCCACCAATTCCCACCCCCATTCCAAGGGATCTAAGGTCTCGTCTTGACCTTGTCAACCATACCAAGCCTGTACTTGGAAATAGACATGCTTGATATGCTCGGTTAACGCATTGGCAGTCGGGATTATGCGTGCAAGATCGACTTTTTAGAATTGGTGGCTTCAGCATACATTTTTGTTCGATAGCTTTGGACGAGCTCAATCGCAACCCCACAGAATCACCCCCGAGCGCTCCTGGGGAAATCTAATGCTAGAATTGAATTCGGCATCCCCGAAAAACCCCCGAGTAACGTGCTTGGAGCGCTTCCCATGGACTATGCAATTTCCCCCCAGAATGATCCCCGGATACCCCCACAGAGCCGCTCCTGAGCGCCCCGGGTAATTCCAATGCCAGAATTGAATTCGGCATCACCGAAAATCCCTGAGTAACGAGTTTGAATCGATTTTCATGCACGCTGCCATTTCTACCCAATTCACCCCCCGAGCACCCCCACAGAGCCACCCCCGGGTAAATCTAATTCCAGAATCAAATTCGGCAGCCCCGAAAACCCCCGAGTAACAACTTCCGAGCGATTTTTCCGAGTTTCCAGTCGTTCCTATAATGGTGCAAGTAATGATGCAATTGGAAAATGCATTTTTCGGCCCAGAAAGCATTTTTCCAAAAACGCGCCAAACCAGACCATGTAAACTTTTTTCCCTGGACCTTCCTGAACACAATGCAGAAAACCGCATCTCGATATCTGGTGTATGAGCAAAGTTCCGCTATTTTTCCTAACTTCCCTGGACTATATCTCTATTGACATCTGGGATAAAGGCAACGACGAAAAACTACTAGACTAATTTTGTTTACAAAAATTTAATTGCAAACATTCACAGTGTTATCCAAGCAGTTGTCAAATTGTTTTGAGAGAGTATTATTACAAGGGTTGTTTATAGCACTCCATGAAAAAGGTGTATGACCTCGACCTAAGCTGCCCTGTGAGTTGTGACCGTACGGTACGAAAGACAATGTAAAATTAATAACAAGTTAACGCAAATAAGAAATAAGATTAATCGAAACTTAGTTCTTTGATGTTTCGGTGGTGATCGGGACTGTATTTAAAGCAGTCGCTAGGCGTAATTAAATATTTTTAACCATAACTAAAAATTAACTCATGGTAAATATATGTGATTTTGTGGTTATTAAAGCAGTTTTCAGAAACATTATTCTTAGATAAAATAAATAACAGATAAAGCATTTCATTCATAACGTATCACGTGTTTGGTCCCAATTATTGGAACAGACAAAAAAATATTTTATGCGGATTGAAAGAAGACAGACTGTAATCCTAGATCTCGTCTGGTAACGCTGCTGTTACACGCAACTAAAAGTCTGTCGATACCAGTGGCGTATCTTATTCAAGATAAAATTATAACTTCTCGATTTTTGTGCGAAAAAGATTATTAATTTGAAGTAAATACTAATTTTGTGTAAGTTAAATATAAAAAAATAAATCGTGAAATACTAACCTATATGGTGTGAAATAGACTTTATATTGGTTTAAACTTTAAAACCTACTGGATTTGGAAAAAGGGTATGCAGTTGAGTGGAATGTAGGTAAAAAACTTAATAATCCAATAAATTTACCATACTTAAGTTGGGGATTTTAAATAGAACGCTACTTCCCAATGAGCACACACTCATTTTTCAACGTAAATATAACTTTGTACGGTATAAAAAAACGTTATTGATTGAAAATTAAACGTTAAAATTTTAGTTGAAAAATTATACGTATAAAAAATACTATTTTCTAACGTATTTTTCTAGCTATTTTTAGCCGAATATTGAAAATTTGATAAAATTAAACGTTTTTTATGTTATTTTCTCGTTTATAATTAACGTTTATTATTTATTTCGCTTAATACTATATTTAAATCGATAGTTGATTTTTTCAAATAATACGTTTTTTTATCAACATTATTTTAAATTACATAAAAATCGTATTGAAAACGTTGTATCAAAACATTTTAATGTTTGATTTATTTTTTAAACTAAAAATATAGGTTATTTCAATATTAATTATTTAACTATATTTTAATATCATTTTTAAACGTAATTATGTAACTAAAAGTTAATAGTTTTGTTAAATATACGTATATTATTAACGTTTGTTTAAATTAAATACATGTCGTATAGAAAACGTTCGTATATTCGTATCTTTTAACGTTTGGTTAATAATGTAAATCAAATATCTACGTTATTTTAATATTATTTATTCCAGTATATTTTAATATTTTAAATCGTTGTGTAATTGTGATTCTATCAAGAGCTGAAATTTTTGTTTAATATACGTTTAATAATAATGTTAGTTTAACTTCTTGTATGCCCTAAAATGCACGAATTTCCGCAGCTAGCGCTAGCATTGCTTTTGCTTCCCCTACCATGACTTCGCACTGAGCGAATAGGGCGACAACATTTTAAAAACGATTGGGCCTATACCTATACATAGAATACATAATTCTAAACAAACAGTATGCTTCAATAAAAAGTTTAATATGAATATTAAATACTTATTTGAATTTTATGTTCAAAAATACAGACTGAAACTCAATACAATTGTATTGCGCCGTTCTTACAGCGAGAAGGATGTAAATAAAACATGATGTTGAAGAAAAACGAATGGTATTGAGTACATACAAATTTATTTATGCCATATTTTCACACTATACACTATACCTTCATATTAAGTGAAATTAACCCTATATATTTACTAACAAACCACAGTAAAACGTTTGTAATGATCACAGGGTAGGCAATAAATTATATGCAATTTCAAATGAAATGTCATTTGGTACTTTCAGTTTTAAAAAACTATTTTTGATAAATAATTTATAAACTGCTATTTTTAATAAATTAATTTTAATTAATTTAATTATTGATATGTAGTTATCAAATCGTTAAATGTTTTCAATATCAAATAATTATCTATTCTACAACCCACCCTTAAAATAACAACATTTGCAGATAATACGGTTCAAAAAATCAGTGGCGTAGCCAGGCTTTAGAGGTTGCGCGATGGCAAGATATTAGAAAAAGACGCATAAACCAGTTTAGGTAGTTTTTCTTAAAGAAAACGCTAACGTTAATATTTGGCATTTTTATTTAGAATACAAATTTTGAAATAAACAACAATAAAAAATCAAACTGTACCTACTTTCTATAAAGTAATACTAAATTCTAAAAAAAAACAAAAAATGAACATGTATTACAAAAAAATAGGTACAAAAAAGTTAAAAATTTAAACAGTTGGTAACATCATTGGTTATATAGAGTTTTATTATGAACGCCATTGTTTCAGGGTCATAAATTGAACAACTATGACAGAGAGGGCATTTCTGAGAGCTTATCCAGATATAATTATCGGGTTTGACATATTCTCACTAAATGGACTTTAACAATGTAACGTCGTGTTGTCTTATTTATGTATCGAAAAATGGAAGGCGAATTTTCTAAAACTTTCAGAAACTTTACAGATGTCGATAAAAATTTATGTTATTCGAGATGGTTATTGATCACAGATTAAAAATAAAAAATACCGTTAAGTGTGAAAGAGAAAAATTCTCGTATGTTATGTTAATTAGTTCAGCCATGTATGGTTAGTAAATCTAAAACGGACCCTATATTCATTAAAAGGATCAAAATTATTTATATTCGTTAATTAGGTTCGAATTTAAATTATATTCATAAAAAGTTATAAGGTCATCTAATCCCTTTATGTTAAAGCAATCTTTCGGCCATGGTTTGAATGAACGTATCGAACGCTACATAAAAAATGTTTGTTTTAAATTAATGCCACGGGTCCATTTCCTTTTGATCGTCAGGTAGCTTCATCATGAAAACGCTTAGTTTTTTTTAACCTTTTAGAATAGTATTCAGTACTGCCCTGCTTAGCTAAAACGTCCTATCTGACATCAGGAAAGGTTTCAGATATTAATGATATTTTTTTCATATTTAGTGCAGCCAACGAAAAGGTATAGAGGGGAATGTTTGGAACACAATTTTTGACACCGTAACTTTGTTTGGACTAGTTAGGACGTAAACATATCAAAAGTCCCCGCCCGTAGCCTTTGAGCCGGAGGGGGTCTGAAGGTCCCATTTTTCGGTTTTTTCGCTTATATCTCGGAAACTATGCGTCCTACCGACATGATCATACAATATACAATGAAAGCCTATTAAATTTGCTGCAAGTTTTACTCAATCAACGATGCACCCAAAATATAAATGCCGACCACAGGGTTGTAGAAAATTAAATTCTCTTCAATAATATATATTACTTTACTATTTTGTCTATTTTACTTCAAATGTTAAAGCAATTTTAAAATTGAACGTGAAATCTGAAGTTTTGCGACAACTGTCGACTAATGAATATTTCAATCTCCCAGTCAACGTATTGGCCGAAATATGCACCAAGTATGTACTTATAGTGAGTACTTGACGTCTAAATAGCACATATACTCATTTTAGAATATATAGTTGTGGTCCCTCTGACCAGGGTTCCTCACACTTAATTAAAGAATATCTAGTTCATTTTTATGGGAAAATATGTTGCTATGACCATGTTTCTGCATGTATTAGTGCCTTTAAGACAGTGGGATGGTTTTATAAATCACAACTTTTAACTGAAAACAACGTTTATTGACATAGAAAAGTAAATTAACATAAAATATTACAACAGTATGAGTCAATTTCTTGCTCTCTTGGGGTGGGAAAGACCTTCATCCTCGTATTCATTTTCATCTTCTTTATCCCCAATAACTTTCATCCCAAAAACTATGCCAATCAAATGTATAAATACATAATTACTTCTTACATTACATCTACGCTATAAAAATATTAAAAAAAAACTACTTAAAGAACTACTACTTTTTTACGTCAAGGGAATTTTTCGATACTGCCCATCAGTAAATAATTATCTTACGGAACGACTACTTTGTCATATAATTAAATGCAATCTAAAATTCCTTCACCAATTTCGGTTGATTGGTATTTTGTGTCCACATTCAAAAGCGGTTTATAATTAATACATTAAGTATAGTTTTTTAATGTTGCAAAATTCTAAATATATACTAGAATTGCTTCACTGATACAAATTCCTTCTCTAAGAAAATCGCTTACCTGTACGAATTAAAGCAACTTTTTTAAATTATTACTGTGCTACTTTTCTATTTGGCTGGTATTTAAAAAAAGAAATTAACAACCACTACTGGAGTTATTCTTGGTTGTGTGATTCTAAAGGATGTCCAATATTGGGAAGCAGAGCATGGAGATCCCACAAACAGTTTTTATAAATAAACATCCTCGTCATTTTTTTATGGAGTAATATGAATGTTTCTAAAGTAGGTCTTGGAAAAATTCACGTATATCGGAGCTAATTCTTCTTCTTTTTAAATGTCAGTTTAGATTTAATTCAGAGCCGTGCGTAATTATCACGGACATGACTTGTATCTCTGTCGATTATGACCTACTTTTTTTGTGGATCACCCTTTAGAAATAAGTAAGAAACAAAAACGAAATTCTTTTGTGACGGTCAAAGACAGCAATAAAAGTTATGCCCTTGATAACTACACAGACCTCTAAATGTAATTTACTGTATTTTAAAAAAGCTCATATTTGCGATATTTGTTCAACGACCTTCTTTAAAAACTTTTTTATTTCTCAAATTAATATTAACTATCGTTTTCCTACGGCAAACAAGTACTTCTTTGGCTATTACCTACCACAACAGGTATTGGATTGTCACATTTGCGTTTGAAAATATTTTCATTTTCAAAGTTGTCAGACTGGCTTTTATTCCACCTATTTTTAACCGACTTCAAAAAAGGAGGAGGTTATCAATTCGTCGCGATATTTTTTTTTTTATGTATGTTCAGCGATTATTCTTTAACACGGTGTCCGATTTCAATGATTCTTTTTTTGTTAGAAAGGGGGTGTTTCAGGGGTGGTCCCATATAAATTTAGTCAAAATCTAATAATTGGGTCCATGAGAAAATCCTCAAACTCTTCATTTTTTATGTATGTTCAGCGATAATTTTTTAACACGGTGTCCGATTTCAATAATTCTTTTTTTGTTAGAAAGGGGCTACTTTAGTGGTGGTCCCATATAAATTTGGTAAAAATCTAATAATTGGAATAATGAGAAAATCCGCAAACTCTTCATTTTTTTATATATGTTTAGAGATAATGCTTTACCACCTTGTCCGATTTATACGATTTTTTTTTTGTTAGTAAGGGGGTACCTCAGGGGTGGTCCCATATGAATTTGGCTAAGATGTGGTGATGGTATCTGCCCGTTTTTGAAGTCGGTTTTTTTGAATTTTTAATTCGTAATACTTGTTTTAACTAGGTATTACAAGCGAGCTTTGATTTGACTAAATACCAGGGGTCTAATATCAAAAGCAGCAAACTCCAAATTTTTCGATTGAAGCTTTTTGTCGTACCGGTTTGGAATGTTCGTTTATTAAAATAGCAGGTCTTATTTTATAACAAAAACAGAAATAAGCCGTTAAAACCATATAGCAAAATTGTAAGTTTGTATCAGAAACAGTAATCTCCAGATTTTACATAACAAACGTAGCAAAGTCACTTTCAGCCAATTACAAGTAGTTAAACCAGTATGGTAGCTGTAGTCGGTTTGTAACAACACGTCCATAGTTAATTACTGTTTTTTAGTACATAATAACAAAATAATAAGTATTATTTACTGAAGATTCATAAAATAGAGGTCTCTTGTACTCCTGTAGATAAAAAACACGCAAGAAAGTGTGTTAGAATTGCCAAAAATTGGCAAGCAAATAAGACGAAATGATTGATATAAGCAACATTTTTCCAGGACCGCAATTAAATCTATATTGACAATAAGAAACACATAAATTCGTACATTGAGTACATAATACGTTGGTGTGTAGAACATCATAACATTTTATTGATATTTTGTATAGTGGATATTTCCGTAATATACAGAGTTGCGCAAAAGTGCGGAATAAAAGTATTATATGTTCAACCAGTAACTTAAAAAACGCTAAAACACGTGAATTGATTTCCTCTACCGAAGAAAAAAGACGTAACCAATATGAACGATTTAAGGCCCATTTCTATTTTGCCAGTCCTTTCTAAGGTTCTGGAAAAAATTATGAAGTATCAAATTACTATACACATTAATAAGCATCCATTGTTGCCAGCAACTCAGTCGGGTTTCAGAAAAGGTCATTGTTATACTACAGCATTTCTTTACATCACAGATAACTTATTTAAGAATATTGACAATGGTAAAACTTCTGCACTCATCCTCCTGGACTATTCAAAAGCTTTTGACACCATATCACTCATGAGATCGAGTTATTCTTTTGTGGATTTTCACCAAAAGCTACAGACCTTTTCGGAAATTATCTTCAAAATAGACGGCAGTACATAGTAACTAATACTGGCTCATCCAATACTAAAATAATTTCTCGAGGAGTGCCACAAAGTTCCATTTTGGGTCCTATGCTCTTTTCTCTTTATTCGGCTATCACTAGTTGTCTAGAACACTGTAAGCCAGTTTTGTATGCCGACGACATACAATTGATGTATTCTTTAGACCACTTTGATTTTGAAAGAGCATAAGAATTGATAAATTCTGATCTTGATTTACTAGCATCTGAATCAACTAGACACGAACTAACCATTAATACTTCTAAATCAATCGTGCTCTTCTTTGGAAAGTACCGTCATCGGATGGAGAAGAGAATCAATATTTCTCTAGCTGGTAACAATATTTCGTATTCGAGAACCGTAAAAAAATTTGGGACTAGATCTAGATACTGAATAAAATTTTAAAATGAACAAGTGTTTAAAAAGAGCCTATTCTAACCAAGTCCAAAATACCTGTTTGAGGAATGTTTATGGTATTGGAAAGTATGAATATCTCACATCACAGTAATAATTAGTGAGCAGAACTGTGTTTGTATTCAATACAGTCCTGGATGTTTTCACACCCCAGTTTACTATCATCAACAGCAATCTCCTTTCATAAACAAATCATATGCAGCAAACTACAACCTTAAATATCAAATACAGCAAACTCCAATATATATATATATATATATATATAGCCAGTTTAAAATATTATTCGAAATCCTACGTCGATTTTGTCTGCAATTTACATAAAATAATTTATTTACACACTTAAAAGCCAAAACAGTAATTTTATGTAACGTCCTAATATTTTTTAAATAGTTTTTGTTGTGTAGTGGAAAATTTAGAAAAGTGGACTTTGCTACAATTGATATTAGACGCCTGATTATACAGATATTGCTAGTTTCTGACTTCTTATTTTCAGTTAACCACTATCAAGTTATAAAAGGATTGGAAAAATATTAATCAAGACCGAGTGGCCTTAAGTTGAGTTAATGGAATACCAATAATATTTTACTCAAAACCATTACAAACTATCGAACCATTTTTGAAAATCCCAAAAATCTAATTAAAAATTATAACAGTGTGCAAATAAAGAATGAAGGATAAGAAGAAAGAGAGGATGCCGTCAGATCGTTACCCCAAACTAAAGAAAGAGATCAAGACATACTATTATCACAAATAATTTCAAAGGCAACGACCGGTTCTCGTTCGATCACCACAGTCGTGTTGGGCGCGGTTAGCACTTGGATGGGTGACCTTATAAACACACTATCGAAAATGTTAGTTGGTAAATTCGTATCTTCTTGTCTTGCTACAAGTTACGATTTTACTTATAAAAAAACTCTTGAAATAATAAAATATATTTCGGTTCAGGGAGATTACGTTGATTATCGCAGGAAAATTATCATTCTGAATTTATTATTACAAGAATTAGAATGGCGATAGAAAAATGTTGGATTAGGTTATATAAAACTTAAGCTGTTCTCGAGAAAAGTATTTTCAGATGCTTCATAGACTGGTTGGTGTGCCTTTTGTATGATTTTAAATACCATGGGTTTTGATACAACCAAGAATTAAAACTGCACATTTACTTCTTAAAAATCAAGCCAGTATTTTATGCTGTAAAATCTCTTGCTAAAGACGAAACAAATGTTTGCATATTTTGGAGGATGAGAACCAAACAGCCATGTCTTGTATAACTCGAGGTGGAAGCATTAAATATTCGTGTTCGATTATTGTAAAAAAAAAATTGTGGAAATTACGAGAGATAAGGCATATTTTAGTTTTTGCAAGTTATATTTCGTCGATAGCAAATTAAAATGCAGTAGGAAATCAAGGTCAATTGTAATATATATAAATTAAACGACAAAGTATTTAAGGATTTTATAAAAAGGCTTTCTTATCCGGAAATAGATTCGTTTGCCACAAAAATAAATTAGAAAATGTCCAAGATTTATTTCATGGTTTTCAGACCCAGAATCTGGACGCATTTACCTTAGATTGGGCAATTGTCAAGATACTACTTTTATGCCTTTCCTGCTTTTTGCTATTGTCACAAATATTAAAAAAAAAAAAAAATCAAAACAGAAAAATGTTTGTTCTTTCCTTTTAGGAAGAGCCATCCATGCCACAACAAGATTTCTCTGGTGGCAGAAATTGTTCGAAGGTCTAAAAACATATGCGTTCATTAAAAAGCAGGACCGAATATAAAAAGAAAAAAATAATAATTTTAGATGATTACGTTAAACATGCGAATCGCCAAAAAATTCATTCTTTTTTTGTTAAGACGTGAATTTTCGTTATTGTAAGAGAAAACGTGATAGTGCACTATTGGAAATTCGTTGTTTGGCGTAAACTATTTAAAGGAAATTCGTAGATATCACAGTTAGTGGAAAACATTATTTGGCCAAAACCTGCCAAACTTGGCTTAATCAAGGGTACCTATATAATTACAAAAGTGTGGCAAGATTTATAAATTAAAAAATCCCAGAGATGCTTGCCTGCAAGGGTTCTCCGAGATTGACATCACTTCCGAATAAATGTCGTTTAATAATTATGCATATTGGCAGTGATACCGGGTTTGTTGAAAGTGGACTTAATGGTTTTGAAACACAAAAAAACCGGGAATTATCACAAAGACACAGATGCAAATGTATTTCAAACGTGGTTTCAATCTACTCTATTTTAATTTTATTTATTTTCGAGGATTCGTATTTTATATTTGTGTTATTTAAATTTATAGGCGAGGCGATTTGTATTTAATTTTTTGTTTTATTTAAATTTTACGACGATTCGTATTTTATTAACAGACTTCAAAAAAAGGAGGAGATTCCTAATTCCACGGAATATTATTTTTATGTATGTTCAGTGATAATTAATTACCACCTTGCCCGATTTCTATGATTCTTGTTAGAAAGGGGGTACCTCAGGGGTGGTCCCATATAAATTTGCTCAAGATCTGGTGATGGCATCTGCACGATTTTGAAGTCGATTTTTTAAAGTTACTTTATAACTTGTTTTTACGATAGCATATATAATAATTTATTTTTACAATCATTTATGAACTCAGTGTTAATTAATGAAATATTATGTATTAAAAAAGTATATTTTTTGTTTTTGGTAATAATTCAACTATTTTTTGTTCAATTTTGAAGCACTTTTTGCAACTCTGAGCGGTTTTTTAGTATTTTTTTCCCAAAAAGTTTAAAACAATTTTACATAATAATGACGTTTACATTATATATTTATTAGTCAAAATTACCAAAAGGTCCCGTCAAAAAAAAAGTGATCTAATTTCATCATCACAACATGTTCATGTGATCCTATACAATAATATCATATTCCTTGCAAAAATAATAATCCTCTGCCAAATTCGCCAACATTTTATACAGAATGTGAAATTATTACCGAAAAAGCAAAATAATTATTTCAAATTTGATTTTGATTTTCAGAAAGTTGAATCAAATTTTAGTATTTCGAAACTAACACTACTATTACGCTATGGGCCATTATTTACGGACCACTCGGTGTTTATTTCATATTGAGATATTATATGTAGATATTGGCGAACCAACTCTTAAAAAAATGGTAACTCGCCTCTATAATGTTTGGTTTGCAAATGCACCTAGAGTAACATCTCACTTAATATGAAAAATTTGAAAATAATTTTTGCATTAAATTAAAATGTATATTTATCGTATAGTTGTAAAACATTAAAATTGCCCGCCACTGGAAACATTTTCTCCTACCTCGTACCCACATAACACACGGACGTCTTATAGACGTCTAAAAGACGTCCTTCAGGGACATAAAGGACGGCCGAGGGACGTCCTATTTTGGTACCGGGACGTCAATCGGACGTCCTAATGTCCCGTTTCCGTCCATCTTAGGGACATCCTAAAAGGACATCATAGGGACCTTTGCGGGACGTCCTAGGGACGTAAATCAGACGTCCGAGGGACGATATTTGACCATAATCCATAAAGGGTAATAATAACAAAAATATTAACAATAAAAGAGCTTTATTTAACAACTTTTATCCTAAAAAAACTAGCTAGAGTTAAACGTTTTCAGTTTACAAAAAAAAAAAAACAGGAATGAATTAAATTTAACACCCAGCGCTGGCAAGATGAAACCTTAGGTCCTACTTATAGCTTGTGTCGACATAACTGAGTATTATAATTTTGTCAAAATTAGTTTTGTTCCAACTTTCCGCCATTAAGGTATTTTCTTACCGCCAATACACATCACTTATTGTCATCTCAACACAAAACACTCACTGCACTTTATAACCACTTTACCACCAACATCAAAAAAATAACAAATAACACTATATAACCTTCTTTTTTCTTCCTTAATCTAACTCACTTATATAAGTTAATTATTGAGTTCCGAAAATTGTAGCTGTTGTTGTTCATTTGAAAATAAATGACAGGTTAGGTTTTCTGTTCTCATACTCTTGCAAAAACAAAACGTTGAATTTCAAGTTATGGATTCAAAGACCAACGATGCTAGTACATAGAAAGTTCCATAGACGTCCCTTGGACGTCCCATTAACGTCCCGGACTCGGAGCGAAAACTAAACGCTTTGTCGAAACGGGACCAAAATAGAACATCCTTCTAAGGACGTCCTAGTGTTCACTGTAATCGGAAGTCCAGTGGACGTCCTATTTAGGTCCGGGACCAACAAGGGACCAAATCAGGACGTCCATGGGACGTCCTGTGCTATCTGGGTAAGCTCCGAAAATCTCTACAAATTTTGGAGCGATAACTGATGTCAGCATTCCACTACACATTCCAGCATTTTTTTTATTTTGAAACCGTACTACAGCAAGCTTCAACAGCAATATCTATTAATAAATGACAGATCATATTGTTTAATATGAACAATAAGAATACGGTATTCTGTAAATATCGTTATGATAGCAATATCTTTTTAAAATAGCTCTATAACAATATTCCTATAGCAAACAGAATCGGCCCGATTATTACTTATATCAATTAAAAATTTTTGAGATGTCTCGCATTTTAAAATTACTCTTTTCTTTTATTTTACTTTCAACGTACCTACACAACATAGAAAAATAAAACTACAATCTGTGTACTGCTTACTAATGAACCTTTTACTGTCTACTTGTTTATTAGGCGTTTAATTGCATATAAGTATTGGCGGAGACCATTTGCTCGAGTATATAGAAAAGGAATCTATTTTCTTGACTAAACAGTTTACTAACTTACTAACAACTAAAGTATAACTAAATTATTTCACTATCTTGTTGTAGGTACTTGATATGTAAATTCAACATAACTGGGTATAGGTATAAACATAAACTATTTATTGTATTTAATTTATGATGTAACTTAATGTGACATATGTTTTTGTTTAATCTTCCGATATCTTAATGTTAGAAAGCTTGTAAATTACTTGCATATTTTATGTAATTAACATAAGAGGTGAGAAATACTATGACCCATGACATTAAATAAAACTTTAATTATGTTTATCTATGCATTTTGCTACTATGCTTGTAATGTTTAATAATATTAATCTTTAGAAAATTAGAAACTATGGAAGTACTGTGTATACCTATTTTACGAGGTATGTGTATTTAAAAATTGTGCAGACCTATTTTTTTGGTGGTTACTTTACCTATCGAAAAATTACCATAAAAACAATTTTTAATTCTCGTTAATTATATAAATTTGAAGTTGAATACTTTGTCAAATGGGCATTTTTATCTTTAAAATATTTTGATACTAATTATTTTCATTTTATTAAAACATAAAGGAACAATTGAAACAGTCCAATGGGGACTTCTTAGATAAGTAAACGGTTCATAAGATTTTTAGAGTTAAATTGTAGGTTAATCAATAATGACTAGTAATAATACTATAAAAACATTTATTTAAACATTACATTAAGAGTGTGGAAAGTGACATTTAAAAAGTACAAAATATTGTAGGGGTTGTAATATAATAAACATGTGTTTTAAATAAATAAACAACAATAGTCTATTTTTTCAATTTTTGATATTTTTTCAAAACAAAAAAAAAAGATAATTAATTTTGAATTAAATCAGCGCAGCGTCACCAAATGCCAAGCTGAAAAGTCAGACGATAAACCATTTACTCTATTGCGGATTTGATTTGACTCTGATTAAATATCTATATAAACCAGGAAAAAGCAAAAATAATGTAGGTAGTTACTTTAAAAAATTCTTTTAATAATTTGTTAAAATGAATATCTAAGATCTATTTTTAAAAATTAATGTTCAATCATGAAATCGATTTTACTACTAAATTGGACATCAATCAAAATAAAAATTAGTCGTCCGACTTATTTGACAGCTAATGCGGAAAGTAGATTTTATTCACGCACGTGTGGAAAGTAAATTTATCCACACGCGTGTGATATAGGACACTTCCCATAAAACTAAATAGTGCGATAGGTGTCATTTTCATAAGTGGTCGTAGGAAAACATTATTTCAATAATAATCTATATTGTTAAGGATATTATAAATTGTACGCTTATTAGTTATGACCACCAATTGTGTTTGAAATGTCAATAATGGCAGTAATCCAAAATGAATATTTAACGGGTGCAATACAGAAGTTTTATTTTCCAAAGAGTTCGCTATAATAAAGCAAAAATTGAGTTGCACATGTTAAGGTAAGGGATAATTAAGCCCAATAAAAGACATTAATCAAACAAAATTGTTTATTTATTAGTATTACATTAATCTATATTTTATTGCTTGGCTACGCGGTCGAGCTAAGACTTCCACTGCTGCTTTCCTCCGCTGCTCTCCTCGATCCCCGTTCGTCCGTCCTGACTTGCCAGGAGTATTGACAATTGACAGTGACACGTGGTCAATAATGTTGGGGTAGAAGAAGAGTATCACTAATACGGCCAACCTGCTACTGAAGCGCCTTCGCGCCATTTCTGAAATTTTAGAAAGCAGCAGTGTTTTTTTAGTGTTCCACTAAAATATTGTAGACTTTTACATCAAAAATATCATCATCGGTCGTTTATTTTATAAATTGATAATGGGATTGCCATTAATATTATTTTAATCTTTTTTTTTATTGATAATGGTATTGCCACTATTACATTATTTTAGACATTCTAAAATATTATTTTTTTAATTGATAATGGGATGGGTTGCCTGGCCATTATTACTTTATTTAGTTATTTTAGATATTTTTAAAATATTGTCATTATACTTTTTTTAAATGATAACAGAATGGGGTTGCCTGCCATTATTACTTTATGCAATCATTTTAGATATTTCTAAAATTATATCGTTATACTTTTTTTTTGAGTTAATGGAATGGTGTTGCCTGACATTATTACTTTATTTAATCATTTTAGATATTTCTAAAATATTATCATTATACTTTTTTTTTAATTGTTTATAGAATGGGGTTGCCTGCCATTATTATTTTATTTAATCATTTTATATATTTCTAAAATATTAACATTATACTTTTTTAATTGTTAATGGAATAGGGTTGCCTGCCATTATTATTTTATTCAATCATTTTAGATATTTCTACAATATTAACATTATATTTTTTTTAATTGTTAAAGGACTTGGGTATCCTGCGATTATTATTTTATTTAATCATTTTAAATATTTCTAAAATTTTAAAATTATACTTTTTTTTATTTATAATGGGATTGCCATTAGTACTTGGTAGGAATGCCTGTTATTTACAAAATAATTTAGAGTGTATTTACTATACACATTATCTTTGTTTGTTTGGGAACTACATATTTTTTAATTTTTTTTTTGTTTAATTATTTTACTTGAATACTTTCTACTATTCAAATTTTTAAATAATTGTTTGTTGAAGTAAAATTTCTTCACTTTCAATATGCAGTGACTTCATTTAATCATAAGAAAACGGGTAACAAAGACGTTACTTACTTTTTGTTATTTATTGGAAAGCCATGGACGTAATTCATGAGCAGCATCAGTGGTCTGCTGTCCTTGCTTATGTAGCGCATATCTGTCATTGGGTAGTACTGCACGAACAGTAAATTGCCAGCTGAGAATCTTCTGTAGCTACAAGGTCCCCAACAATAAGCAAATTCGCTCGGGCAGCGCGAGCCATTAAAATGCTGAGCTTGCTTCTTGGAGCTTTCTTCCAAACGTACTTGAGCCTCGGCTACGGCCTTGTCTGGATCGACAAAGTTATCGGTTGGTGGCGCATCTCCCAAAAATTGTCGAGTAGCCAATAATCTTGGATTTGTGCCATGATTCAACACTAGGTGCGTGACCCGTTATTGAATGAATTGTAGAATTTATATTATCTTCTATAGCAGTAAGTACGAAAGTCCATTTATTCTCTTTTTCGTAACAATGTCTTTATTGGTGCAGCTAACTCTAGAATCATTTAAATGAACCGTCGGAAATAGATAGCAAGTCCCATAAACTGTCGTACACTTCTGTAACATCTACCGGAATAGGCGCTTGAGTCAAGGCATTTATTTTACGCTGACTGGGTCGCTCTGATACTGCACTTAAAACAACACTAAGATATTCAGTCTCTCGGGCAAAAAATGTACATTTTTTATAGTTCAAAGCAAACCCATGTGTGGATAGCGCGTTAAGTACTTCCTCCAGGTTTTGTAATTAAACTCTACACATGATGTGCCTTGATCTTTCTTCAATTTTCATTTGATAAAATCCAAACTTCATATTTAATGTAGCAAAGTATTTTCCATGACAGAGAGAATTGATCTGATCTTGATTATGAGGCAATGAGTATCTTTCTTGTTAACATCACGGAGATTCACAAACATTCGAACTTCACCATTTTTTTATATATATATATATATATATATATATATATATATATATATATATATATATAAACACTATAGAGCTTGCATATTCCGATGCGACTTTCACGAGTTATGCTCATGCTTTAAAGTTCATTATTTTTTTTTACTTGCAAGCTTTCTACACGGTACTATCTCACTTCTAATGATAAGGTAAGGGATAATTAAGCCCAATAAAAGTCATTAAATCACCAAAACTGTTTATTTATTAGTATTACACTATTTTGTATTTTATTGCTTAGCTATGCAGTCTAGCTAAGACTACCACTGTTGCTTTCCTCCGCTGCTCTCCTCTGTCCTCCGTTCGCCCATCCTGACTTGCCAGGAGTATTGACAATTGACAGTGACATGTGGTCAATAATGTTGAGGTACAAGAGGAGTATCACTAACATATATACAAATACAATATTTAAAAAATGTATTATGTGTATAGTAGTTTGCTATCAGGCTGCTACATATTCCAGAATACAGCATTTTCCACTAACATTATGAAGAATATTATTTCTGAAACAGAAAGCACAGTATAATTATAAAAATAATTGTAATAACTCCAAAATAAATAATAAGTTAGGACCAAAGGGGTATCGAAACATAATAAGGTGGGTATTAAAAATTAAAAATAAACAAAAGTGCCTTAAGCCTTAATCTTTTTTGATAAATAATGGAACCTTCTTTAATGTCCCTAGTGTTTCAAGAGTGGTTTTAGTGCAATATTCTATAATTAAATAACCTAATTGTAACAAGAATTACCATAAAATCAAATACTTTTATCCAGATTTGTATTTTTTTTAGATACCTGCCGTAGGAAAAACCTAATGTTTTTTGGCTGGTTGCATAGGCCGTCCGCCAGCTCTGCAACAGTTTTTGGTGGCGCCACCAGTTACCGCGGTAAATGGCTTCATTTACTTAAATGTCCCAACAGTGTCGGATTGGGCCGTCGGCGTCGGTCTACCGTTCAAAAGACCGGTAGGCCCTCCTTCAAAAAGTTTCAATATAAAGATTAAAAATAAATTGTAACAAATAAATTAGAATTATAATAGTGCTTAGGCATTAATTTAATTAGTACGTTATAAATAAATTATAAACGGTTTTTAATAAATAAACTATTTATAAATTAAATTAAACAATATTTTAATTATTAGTCTTTGATGGCTTTTAAATGAAAATATAATTACAAAAAGAATGTTGAAGATTCTTCAACATATAACATTTAAATCAGAGTACAGAACAAAAAAGTTTTGAATTAAAACACAAAAAATCTTGAAGCCAATACTGGTACGTATAAATTCTAAAGCAGACACGTAAAAAATTTCCACGTTACGGGACAAGGGGCCAATAGAAAGCTATCGTGTGGATGGTTTCTTACAGGCGATTGGCCAGAAGCGCCGAAGCGACGCCAAGAGCTTTCCGCACGGCTTTGCTTCAACAGGCATTTTCAGAAGCTTCTTCTCAATCAAACCATCAAACAAGTCACTTCGTTTTTACCTCGATTAAGACAGTGCTTTACACTAAGATTGTAAATGTAGTTTAGTGTTGTGATGTAAAAGTTTTAGTATGGTTTTCTAAGATTAAATGGAGTTATATGTTGCCGGCTTTTTTTACATCAACGCAAAATAAACCAGTACTCTATCTCTCTACAGTCCGCTAGAGTCAAAGGAATGTAAAGGAAAATCCCCTACAAATATAATGACATCTACCAATACAAATGTCAAAAGTATTATGCATTATTGCGAAAGTGGTGTCACTTATTTCATCTGTCACCTTCTCATCTTTTCACCTCCTTGTTTTTATTTATGGAGGGTAGAGGAAAGGAGAACAATCTCTGTATACAAAAAGTGTCCCTCAAGATGTATACAATTAAGATGGCGCTTCTGTGCCCAGGGGACGTCGACAGTCGATAATTCAGATCACACAATGACATCAATGATGTATATAGTAATAAATATTGCTCAACCATAAAAAACTAAAAACTACACCGTGAAAAGTGACTGATCATAGAAGAGTAAGTGTTCTGTGATCATAGATAAATTTTGACAATACACGACAATAGTCAAATTTTATTGAAAAATAATAATATAAACAATAAATAATTCTTATGAATGAGCAATCTATATGACTATATAGCATTGGATTTTGTCCCCTGGCTACACGAGCGCCATCTTAATTGCATACATTTTGGTGGCCACTTTTTAATATAAAGATCCATATAAGATTGTCCTCCTTTTTTCTACCCTCCATATTTTTATTAAAGCAAACAATAACTGAACTCAATCTATTCGATAACTTGTAACTAGATTAATTTTATATTACGGTTGTCTGTATAAAGGTACAGATTACAATATTACGAATCTGCAGTTTGCTATCCATTGTACAATCTTTTCTTTTTTTTCTGTGTAAAGAGAATTGTATCGCTATACAATTTAGTCATTGACCTGTGCTCACTCTTTTGAAAAATAATGACAGTGTGCACATCAACAACTTTCCTGTTGATTGAAAAAATAAGATTCGGATTTAATTTTCAAACGAACAATTCGGACTCTAGACATATAATGTTCTGATGGCTGAGTTGATAAGGAAAATGTCCAATAATAATTTTCATTATTTCGTGAGATAATTTTGAAAAATATGTTGAGAATTTATATTTAATAATAACAACTTTGATTATACTTTTTTTGTTATACTCTTATTTAATATTACATATTTTTTTTAGCAGAATTACGCAGCCCTCCACAACGATATAAATCAAGTACCTACCGTTCCGATTATCCTCCAAGCACTCACAAAGTAAACAACAACTATCAACAAAAATCTTCGACGACGATCAGGAACTATTTCGTTCACTCGTTAAAACCACCAGCACCCAATCAGCAAAACCATTACGGAGAGATCAGAACCGAAAAAAGTCCTCAGAGATTGCAGCTTCCCCTTCCTCTTCTGCCAACCTTGCCGGCTCTAACGTTTAGTTCTCCAGCGCCATTTTCATTGAAACAGAGGATAGAACAAAAAAGGTAATTATACACAGTGTGAGTGAAATTAATTTCGCAGGCTTGGTTAACGAGATATCGCAAAATAAATATTAAGGTATACGAAAACAAAATGCGCCTTTTGTGTCTCAAATAGTGGATACTAGACTTTGGAGGAAGAATAGATCTTTGCAGAAACATGGGAGGAATATGTCCAACTAATCAACTATTACTCAGTCGTTAATGTAGATACATGACGTAATGTTATATTTTATTTTACAAATTTTGCGGGCTTTTGAAATTACTTCTACTTGTAAATTAAATTTATTTTTTTACAACACACAAAATGCCAATCAAAATGTTCTATGACAAATAATTTAATAAAAATACAAAATTTTAAGTCAATCTTTGGTTAAAATAATTAACAGTAATATACATTTTCTGAGTAAACAAATAAGTGTATAACGGTATCCCAAGCTCCAAGCCTCAGATTGCATAAAGGCATTGCAGAAGCTAATTATTTACCTCTTGTAGGAATGTGACAGACCATACAAAAACATCAGAACATGCACAAAGTAGTAGATAATATACAAATATCAGGAACTAAAAGGACTATTGCCAAAATTCATCGAAAATCTGATCATGAATAGAACAATTATTAGAGCCTGTTAACATATTTATAATATCGATCAGTACGCCAGGAAGACGAGCTAACTGCCGTACACTGTATTACTGCGAAGGAACTATCAACACTAAATAAAAACTAAAAAGCAAATAGCTACACACGCATCGGGAGTTTATGAAAATTGACCAAACTAGACAAAGTGCTTTAACTAATAATGTAAGGTTATATCCGCAATATATCTACAAATGCCCATAATCTTAATCAAAAGTTAAAGGCGTTCACTTTGTCGTTATAGTCTAGAGAAGAAAGGAGTGCAGTAATTTAATTTGCAGAACGTACTACAGGTTCAAGAGGTAGACATTTTATTTATACCTCATCCTTCAATGCTTATTTGTAGTTACAATGAAAATTTTAATACATCAAGATCGGCCTAACAAAAGTTTTCGTCTAGATTTAATCATGTTTCCATGATTTTTACTGTAATAAACATTTTCTTTTCACAGATAAGTCAGACTTTTTTTTATTCATAGCCGTATCGTATGTATTTTAATTGATTCGAAATTTTGTATTATTATATATTATAATTTTACAGTTATATAAGAATAGCGAGTGCATTAGAAAATACTGCAAGCACAAGTACGCGTAAACGACCTAGTGGACATTAGGGTGATTCATTTCCGAAAAATTTAAGACTAAGATTAATATTTTGCTTGAGCACCGAAAAAAAAAAAACTTTGCGGAAATGAATCACCCTAGTGGACATAAATCGTTATCTTTAGAAGAAAAAATGTCGTACTTAATGTATTTAATAATCATCGAACAGACTTTGTTTCACTTTATGTGGATGAAATAGCCACTAAATGTGAGACCTATTCGGGAGTATCTAAGCGGACAGTGTATAACATTAATAAAGAAGATACAATTATTGGAGAAGTCTCACATCCGAAAAAGCCCTAGGAAGAAACAAGACCTTTATTGAAACTTGGATAAAGAATGTAATAAGGCAAATGGTATTTTTTTTTTAATGTAATTCCTACACTTAATTATACTCAGAAATAGAAAATAGTCCCTCTTTCAAATATATATTTTCTTCTGCAAAACATATTACATGAATTGAAGTTTCGTTACAAAAAAAAAAACGTGACAGAAACAGCTTTTTAACAGAGAAAGACATCATTGCGTAGAGACATGATTATTTAAGGAAAATAGCGGGCGCAAGAAATCAGCATAAACAGCTATTTTGTTTAGATGAAACACTGTTTAATGATGGATATAGAGTAACAAAAATTTGCGAAGATACCTCCATCAAAACTAAAAAACAAGCCTTTATGGAAGGGGTCTCTTATGGATAAAAAAAATCCAACAGGAAAAGAAAATCGTTCATAATAACCCACATCGGAAGAACCGATGGATTTATGCCAGATGGTTTACTAATGTTCCAGTCAAACAAAACAAAAGACTACCATGAAGAAATGGATGGCCCTATGTTTGAAAATTGGTTTCAGAACAATTTAAAAAAAATACAGCCAACACCGTTATTGTTTTGGATAATACATCCTATCAAACAAATAAATGTATAACGGTATCCCAAGCTCCAAGCCTCAGATTGCATAAAGGCATTGCAGAAGCTAATTATTTACCGCTTGTAGGAATGTGACAGACCATACAAAAACATCAGAACATGCACAAAGTAGTAGATAATATACAAATATCAGGAACTAAAAGGACTATTGCCAAAATTCATCGAAAATCTGATCATGAATAGAACAATTATTAGAGCCTGTTAACATATTTATAATATCGGTCAGTACGCCAGGAAGACGAGCTAACTGCCGTACACTGTATTACTGCGAAGGAACTATCAACACTAAATAAAAACTAAAAAGCAAATAGCTACACACGCATCGGGAGTTTATGAAAATTGACCAAACTAGACAAAGTGCTTTAACTAATAATGTAAGGTTATATCCGCAATATAATCTACAAATGCCCATAATCTTAATCAAAAGTTAAAGGCGTTCACTTTGTCGTTATAGTCTAGAGAAGAAAGGAGTGCAGTAATTTAATTTGCAGAACGTACTACAGGTTCAAGAGGTAGACATTTTATTTATACCTCATCCTTCAATGCTTATTTGTAGTTACAATGAAAATTTTAATACATCAAGATCGGCCTAACAAAAGTTTTCGTCTAGATTTAATCATGTTTCCATGATTTTTACTGTAATAAACATTTTCTTTTCACAGATAAGTCAGACTTTTTTTTATTCATAGCCGTATCGTATGTATTTTAATTGATTCGAAATTTTGTATTAGTATATATTATAATTTTACAGTTATATAAGAATAGCGAGTGCATTAGAAAATACTGCAAGCACAAGTACGCGTAAACGACCTAGTGGACATTAGGGTGATTCATTTCCGAAAAATTTAAGATTAAGATTAATATTTTGCTTGAGCACCGAAAAAAAAAACTGCGGAAATGAATCACCCTAGTGGACATAAATCGTTATCTTTAGAAGAAAAAATGTCGTACTTAATGTATTTAATAATCATCGAACAGACTTTGTTTCACTTTATGTGGATGAAATAGCCACTAAATGTGAGACCTATTCGGGAGTATCTAAGCGGACAGTGTATAACATTATTAAAGAAGATACAGTTATTGGAGAAGTCTCACATCCGAAAAAGCCCTAGGAAGAAACAAGACTTTTATTGAAACTTGGATAAAGAATGTAATAAGGCAAATGGTATTTTTTTTTTAATTCCTACACTTAATTATACTCAGAAATAGAAAATAGTCCCTCTTTCAAATATATATTTTCTTCTGCAAAACATATTACATGAATTGAAGTTTCGTTACAAAAAAACGTGACAGAAACAGCTTTTTAACAGAGAAAGACATCATTGCGTAGAGACATGATTATTTAAGGAAAATAGCGGGCGCAAGAAATCAGCATAAACAGATATTTTGTTTAGATGAAACACTGTTTAATGCTGGATATAGAGTAACAAAAATTTGCGAAGATACCTCCATCAAAACTAAAAAACAAGCCTTTATGGAAGGGGTCTCTTATGGATAAAAAAATCCAAAAGTAAAACCGATGGATTTATGCCAGATGGTTTACTAATGTTCCAGTCAAACAAAACAAAACAAAAGACTACCATGAAGAAATGGATGGCCCTATGTTTGAAAATTGGTTTCAGAACAATTAAAAAAAAAATACAGCCAACACCGTTATTGTTTTGGATAATACATCCTATCATAGTCGATTAAAGGAGTAACTACCTACAACAAGATGGAAAACAAAAGATATTTCAAAATGGTTTCATTCTAAAAATAGTATCAGTCCTCCTAAATTCTTAAAAGCAGAATTACTCGTAATAGAAGGGCAACATAAAAACAAATTCAAAGCAGGGACTAAAACTAATAATTTATTCTAAGGCTGTTTATTTTTATGGTATTTCGCTTACTGCGTTCTGTAATATTGTTTTTTAATTAATTTCATTAAATAAAGTAGTTTACTATGTTTTCTATTAGTTTTGTTATTTGAGGGACTAAAGATTACTGCTTTGTGTTATTATTATTTTAATTAATTTCATTGTTTATTTTTCTCATGTGTCAATATTTATTCGCTAATAAACTCGCCTTCCTTCCTTTCGAATAAACTTCAAAGTCCTCGTTGACAGTTCCTTGAATATAGGCAACACATTATACGTAAATCAAGTAGGTATACACCAGGGCTGGTATACACTAAATGTCAAATTGAAATTTATTATTTTGACGTTTTATAGTAATCAATTGCGTTTTTAATAATTGTACAATAAATAAAAATATATGCAAAGTTTCAAACAAAAATCGATAAATTTATTCGCTTATAAAAGGTCTTGTTATATTACCCCATGAATAAAGTAGTTTGTTATGATTTCTATTGGTTTTGTTATTTGCGGGACTAACATTTTTCAATCCTTTAAGACTAAAATATTTTAGTCCCAAGGGAGTAAAAGTGTAAAAGATGTAAATGGAGAACATTGGAGAAAATTTATTGATAATGTTAAAAAGGTGAAAAATTCATTTTGGAAAGTGGATATAGTAATGGGAAACTTAATAGACCCTATAATATTAAACCTCAGAAAAGACAATGATAATGATACCAGTAGTTATAGTGAAGACAGTGACTTTTAAAGATAGTTCTTGAACTTTTTATTTTTTTAAATCTTTGATTATAGGTACTAAAGTGTTAATTTTAATGCCAAGAGATTAAACAAATTTAATCCCATTAATAATATATAATCCTCCTTGTTATTTATTGGTTAAATTTAATTTAATGTTAAAGTGCAACAATTTTTTCAGAAGCATAAGTTTTATCTTTATGTTTTGTAAATAATATACCTTTTCATTTAAAATTTAATCTACGAAGTGCGTATATACAATTTTATATAAATACCTTGACCTTATTTATATTATTGAAACTTATTTTGCAAAGTACGTCTATGGATTGTCCCGTTATATACCCACTTTTAGTGAACTCCACTTTTATTCAGACTATAGACAGAATATGCGCCTAATTACAAGCATTCTGACTGGTCATTGCCAAGTACAAAAGCATCTCCTGACAAAATGCAGACTTTGTAGGGGGTGCTAACAAGAAGATGAAATCATCGTGCATATCCTCTACAATTGCCCGACGCTCTAAGTTATTAGAAGATTTGTGTTTGGCGAGTTTTGACTAATACCGGCCGATATAACAGAAGTAACTCTCGGCTACATTGTCAACTACATCAAATTGTAGGCTAGCTGATTAAGAGGATGCCTAATAGGCGTAGAGTGGCCTCACGAGCCAACCACACTCCACATGTTACTGATACATACATCTATAATATGTACCCCAGAAGTTCTTTATGTCTAGAATACAGAGTTGCACGATAATTTTAAAACAATTTTACCAGCCACTATGTTTTTGTTCATTTTATTTAATTCTAAATGTTAATGTATTTAATTTTTTTAGGTATACCAAGGATCATATTCCTCCACCAAGAATCGTCATAAGCGCTAGTGCTAGCGTCAGCGACGCCAGTGGCAGAAAACTCAACTACTCTTTGGGAACGATCAGATCTGCCCAACTATCCAAACCACCACCAAGCACGTACGACGAATACAAAGACGAAGACGTAGCTTTAGATCCCTTCTATCACGATGTACCGAAAATTAAAGGTACTAGAAAGAAGAGAAGCGCAACTGAAGATAGTTCGAAGCGACAACAAGAAAGAAAAATAAACTACTCTGACATAATTCGAAACGATGAAGAAGCTTTAAACGTTCTGAAGTTTCTATTCGATTGGTACAAACACGATAAAACTAATCCTGCTAGATTTACAACTCCACTCAGCACTGCTTTAGACAACGAAGGTATTTCTTCAATTAACCATGGGCTTGCGCCGGAGACAGATTCTTCAAATATCGAAGAAACAGAAGATGACAGTTTAAATTTCAAATTTGATAATAACGATTCGTTTAAAACATCAAATAAATACAGTACGGTTGGAGAAGATGAAGGAGTGTCAGTTAATCATAATGTAGAAAGAATTAATAATGTAGAAGATAAATACACTATTACACACGTACCTGATAACGAAAAAGATAGTGAAATATTTCAACACGAAGAAGATTACGTTAATGATAACTACGAGCCTTTAACGTATAGAGAACCAGAACGTGCATACAAAGATGAACAAGTAAATGACAATGAAGGAAAAGAAAAATATTGGAGCAATAAAGAGGAAAGTAAGAATTATTCTATTCAGGATGATTATATTGATGATAACATTGAACCTATATTTTACAAAGAAAGACAATATGACCATTCTGTAAAAAAAAGCAGTAGAAATTATATTGTTCCCAATTATCAGAAAGATCAATTAAAAACAAAAGATTACGATGATGAATCCAATATTCATAAATCTAAACAAATTCACACTCAAAAAGAGACGCCATCTGTAAAAAACGAGAGCAATTTTCAAAATATTTTTAATATTAACGATCATATTCATAACAAAATAGTAAAAACAGATAATTTCGCTAAAAAAACTAATAATAGCTATTCTAGTCAAATAGAAAATAAAGAGGAAAAATTAATTACAGATCATCCTGAAGAAGAAAGAAGTACTTACCAACTATCTCATGAACGATTTACAACTTTGCCTACGTATGAGATTCAAAACACTTTAACAACTGAAAGAATAATTTCACATTTAACAAATGTAAGAAGTAACCGAAGAGGAAACAGGAAATTTACGGATAATATAAATAAAACAGAAAAAGAAGTTGATTTTCATAAACCGGTTGTAGATAAACTCATAGAAAAACATTACAGAGCTAAAGATGATTATGACTTCTTAAGGACTATTCATATTTATACTCCCACTCCAAGGACAAGTTATCAAAATTTGGAAACCGAAATATTCCCATCAACTACAGAAACTGAATTTATTCCCACAATTACAGAAACACCAATTATTACAACTAGTCCAGCAAAACCTGTAACACTAAAAACTATAGTTGAAGTCATCACTACCATTAAAGAAGACGATGAAACTCCAGATTCTTTGAGTTACACCTTAACCACCGCACCGGTAACCACAACGCAAAAACCTCTACCTAAGACAAGGAGAGGTAAATTTAAATTCAAAGACTTTTCTAGCGAAGAAACAATCTACATAAGAAAGAAACCACAAGCAAAATCTAAGGAAACTACTGACGGACACAATGAAAACCGTGATGATGATAATAAGGCTCAATATCTAGAGCATCAAGATCCCCTAAGTAAAGTTCATTTTATTGCAAAAGATAGTCAAGAAAATAATTCCAATCAATCTCGAGAACAACAAAGCAATATTGATTTTATTGAGAGTGACAGTCAAGAACCTTTTTCAGAAATACTGGAATCAACCACTAATCATTATAAAAGAATACGAAATGAAGATAATGAAGGTGTTACCTCTTCAGTAGCACTTACAATAATTTTGTCTACAACTGAACCTTCAATTACAACTACACCTTTTGATACAGATAATCACAATGCTTCACATAAAACAGCTACCGACAATCTGCCAGTACAAAATTCTTATATAGATATATATGCTACCTCCTTTGTACCAACTACAGAAACAATCCACATCACAAAGAAGAAACAGTTAAAAGAAAATTTACTAGACGTGCAATTTGATACAACTACTGAGAATATTGCTGAAACTACTGAAGAAATACCCGATACTACAACCTGGTCAACAAGTGAATTGAATAACTTGATTCATAAAATAGAAAGTAATACAAATAGTTTAGTTGCTCCAAAAACATACAATAAATTAACTAGCGTAGCAACTACTGAATCAGATGATACTACTGAAACCATCCTACATACTACTACTATACCTAGTTCAACAGAAAATAAAACTAATACTTTTAACATGAGTGGAATGAATTTAGTAAGCGTTTCTTTAGAAGAAAAAGAAAAACATTTCACTATAGAGTTGGATAGTACAACAGAAGACATACCAATTACTACAGATGTCTTAGAACTTAACGAAAGTATTGGTTTTCAATATCTAGATTTTAAAAAAGAAATGAACGATTTTATAACTAAACTGGACAGCTTAAAATTCGAACACAAAAATAAGTTTAAAGAAAAAAATATTAACTCAATTGAAGAAGATACGTTAATAAATGATATGGAATATACTAGTGAGAGTACTGATGGTACTACTCTAAATTTAGAAACGACCACTAATTTTTATAAAAACACACAAAGTACTACAACTTTTGAACAAACCACTATTCAACCGACTACTTTAGAAGAAATATCAATTGATATAACTCAACCTACAAGTATCGAAGAAACTACTACTATGAGATCTAGAAGAAGAGGTGGCAAACCAACAAGAAGACGAACTAAATCCTATCAGCCAGGATACAGACATAGATTTAGTACTGATTCTTTTACTAGAAGACCTCAACCCCGAAAGCAAACAATAGAAGAAGAAATAGTTGACATATACAGAAGAGGTAAAGAATTAACAACTGAAAATTATAGGGACAATATTGATAAAAAGGAATACGTTTTGACTGATTTTCCTTTAAGAAAAAGTGTAAATCCTACCCAAGCAGAAAAAACTTTAGTTACGACTCCGTTTTCGCAGCAACGTCCCGTCCCAAGAAGGCATTTCTTCTTCAATTGTTTCGGGAAAAAAATAGATAAATTTTACCCTGATTTAAGGGATTGTAGGTTGTTCCATTATTGTACGCAAGGGTACAGTAAGAACCAGTTGTTGGATATGAAATTCGTTTGTGATTTCAATACATTTTTTGATGACGAAAAATTGATTTGTACAAAGACGAAACCGAAAAGATGCCTGTAAATATTTCCTAGCATGTTTGTCAAAGATTTTATTAATTTTATGGTGATTTATATTTGTTTTTGAGTATGCCGTTGTTTTTGGTCTTTCTGGTAAATATCTATAAACTTAGAACAGAATCATTGAAAGCATCAACGAAACCATTAGGTACGGATAAAAATAATTATTTTATATTTTGCTCTAAAATCCTTTTTTGAGATATTTAAGACAAAGACTAGAACATAACAATGTATAATTATAATTATATCAAAAACTTGGACCAAAAATTGTAAATCTAAACAATAGTATATTTATACACCAAGGGACTGAAGTGGCATTTTGTATCCCGGAGAAAAAAAGTTTGTTGAGGGATAAAATAACACTCCAGTCCTGTGGTTTATACGTTATTTTGAGCACTTTAGGAAAAAAATAGAGAATGAAAATTATGAAAAACTACTTAACCATTTAACAAAGCAATGACGATGTCAGAGCAAGATTGTTATAGTGTTGTCGTATTTTGTACTTTGTACTGTATTTTCGGTTGTATGATATAAGTATATTCTGCTTTTAATCCCTAGGGATTAAGCGTAATTTTTAATTCCTAGGGAGTAAAAGTGCCATTAAGTATATTGTACATTTAATACATAGGGTTGAAAAGTACATTTTTAATCCCCAGGGAGTAAAAGTGTCATTTTATTCCCTGAAAATAGGGACTAAAAGTAGACCCTAAAGTACATAAAGAATGTTTGCTAACTTATCAACTTTTTAAATTATAATTGAAAAAGTAAAAATTTTAATTTTCATAAAAATAAGCAGTAATTAAACCAATAAATATGATCCAAAAATGTAATGTAAAGATTAGTCAACTTAAAATTTCAAACTACTCTATTTTTTGGCCCAATTGTGACGATTAAAAAAAAGGAAAACCTTACCATTGTTACACTTTTTGTTTAGAGTGTATTCTCTTTAAAATGGGTCGTGATACTAAGGGAGACCCTGTATATTAATATCGTCAGAAACTACTTCAGCCAAACTCTATTTAATGTACAATACAAATTTTATTTCTGATGAAACAAACACATTTCTATAATAAAAAATATACACTAATTTCAACCTAAGATTCATTATTGAAAAAATTGTGTAATCCAAAAATCTCTATATCACTGAATAAGGAATTAAAAACCTTTTTAAATGAGCTATCAGTCGACCCTTGTTGCCGTTTAAAGGATTCAAAGAGGGGTTGAGATTATGATACATTTTTATCGCAGAAACATGCTTCATCAGAAACCAAAATCAACCTGTCCAAGCATTTTCTCTCATATTTTACCGAATAGAAGTTAGTATAAAGGATAACTCGTTCGCACCTAATAAAAAACATAAGCTGAATAATCAACTTAATAATTAAAAGAATCACTTTTTACGTTTTGTCTCATGTATTTGAAATTCTTATTAATTCTTCGTAATAGCAAAAATTGAATAAATGCTCAGAATGTACCTTCTTTTTTTTAGCAGAGTGATTTTTTTTATAAAATATCCTTTTGTTATTTTAATTAATTCAAATATATTAAAAACTATGGATTCTACTGTATGAACTAAAATAATCAGTATGCAACTAGTTGGGAATATTTCAAAGGATAGAAAATAATATATTTAATATTGTCTTTAATCTTTAAGTTTTCTTTACAGACTATTCACATTTTGTGAAAATATCTTAAAAATTTCCAAATAAACATATTTTTTATTGATTCTTTCAAATATTCTCCATAAGCTTAGTTAATTTTTTAACAAAAAATTTGTTTGACATTTTAAATGTAAGAAAAGACAGTACTAACAGATATCATTTTTTTATGAGTTTAAAAACTGTTAGCATCATTGGAATATATCCATGGTTCAAAATTATTCCTAAATTCGTTACCGATAGTTAAATTTTAAGACAGAAGATTTGTTATTATATCTGATTCTATAGTGACCTCAATAATATTAACTGTCATTCATTGTTTCCGATACTACTTGCGGAAGCAAATTCAATCTGCTGTTGACATGTTATAATATTGTACCAATTTTTGTTTTTAAAGACAATCTCGTTCAATTTTGTCAAATAAGATGTATATCGTAAAATATTTGAATATGTTATACTTAACAAAATCATCGAATAGACCGTGAATAAAACGTTCTTAAACAAAACAATCCACATTTCTAATTATTCGACAATTTTGTATGCGCAAAAAAAGCGCGGGACTTTTGAATCTAATAATTTTCCAAATACACTGCTATCTCTCTCTTATCTTCGCCTTACAACTGTTGGGTTGGCTACAACGATTACCCCATGTCATCGTTACCAGAGCCGACAGAAGGGACAAGGGGCGCAAGATCGACCAAAATTAACATATGAATTTATCTATAAAAAATGAATTGACTGATACGTGACAAAAAGACTTGAGGAGCTAAACTACGCGTCCAACAGCATTGGGTCAACAAAAACAATTTCGGTTAAAGAACTGAAAACAAAACAAACACAAAGTCGTTACCTGACCTGTTGGGTCAGAAGAGATATGGTCACCCTAAACTATAGGCGCGCCCGATCTAAATATGTTCCTTCCGCCGGCACTGATCGTTACTTTAAACAACTGTGATCGATTCCATATCATTGACCAAACAATTGACTTTTGCAAAGACCCCAATATTTAGTAAATTCACGGTTTCTTTACATTTTTTTATAAAAACAATAAGTGAACTTTAAAATGCCTCTCCTGACAAATGTAGATTTGGTGACTAACACACCTTACCTATGAGGTGCTGATATAGTAGGGAGCCAGTGAAACTTTTTTGGTACACATTTGAACAAAGCTAAATTTTAATAGTATGAGAGCCCACTGCAAATTTCGACCGTCATCTGATAACGAAATGAAATATGGTCCAAAGTCATGTAATAACATTGTACTTTACCAAATTGAACCTGTGCCAATCCCTATCCTGAGCAAAGTGGTTAAAAAAAATTATTTTATATTCAAAAAATCACATAAGACATTAGACAATTCTTTTAAACCATAATCATACTAGTTTTTTTGTCGTTTCTATGGCAACCTGTAAAAATGAATCACAACAATAGACATACAAATAAATTTTTAAATCAGCAAAAATTGATTCATATTTTTAATGATTTTTGTCTACCAATCGTGGATAGATGTTTTTGTGCGATGTTTCCCTTTAACGATATATATCAAGATATATTTGAATGTTATTTTCTGGAAAACTTTAAGAGCAAACAAAATTAGCGCTGTCATACTTTATGTGATTTTTTTAAAATAAAATAATTTTTTTAAGCCACTTTGCTCAGGATTGGGATTGTCACAATGTTTTTACATGCTTTTGGGGTATATTTCATTTCGTTATCAGATGACGGTAAAAATTTGCAGTGGGCTCTTGGGCTAAAATGGATCGTTAATTCTTACCTTGTAGAAGATTAGTTTGTTGCAATCGATCTAGTAGTGAAATGCCCTGTCAACAAGCAAGAAGGTCTGTAAATCGAATTTCAAGAATGTGGCAACAAACTTTTTTCTACTACTTTTGATGTAAATAATATCTGAAAGTTTCAAGTTTGAGCTTCTATGACGAAGTTTTTTAAAACGTCATCGTTGCGCAGCAAACTATTTCCATGTTCTACAAGGTAAGAATGAACAAAATTAGTAATTTTACCTTTCGCAAATAACCCACCAAGTGTCACTGCCTCTTCTACCAATATTAACAAACGCAAAAACAAAATTACATTTGCGGATGTGTAATTTGAAAGCAGGGTAGGAAACATAACAACAAATTTTAATGATTTTAAGCGGAAGTAGAATTTGAGCAAGAATAACAAAAATCATCAATAATGGGAAATGTCTATTAGGCGTTCTAACGACCTATCAAACAATAACTGAGGAGAGGGTTGGTATATTTAAAGGCCTTGCGACATAGCCTTCCAGCTTAGACGATATTTTTACTCTAATTACTAGTCGCCAAGCCCGCCAATTTAAGAAAAATTAGATTTTTATGGTATTTGACATAAAATGAGCAGTTTTTAAGGATACAATATTTAAATTCAATCCATTATTCATTATTTCACGTGTTAGAGATAGAATATATCGTATGTGGCTACTCCTTAGATATGCCAAATCTTCCCTTCGGCAGTCATTTTGTTTGACGTGCCTAAATGGGGAACTAAATTTCAGCCATTGAATATAGTAAATAATAATTACCTTAATTTTTTACTTCAAGGCATGAGTTTATGTTACTTATTTTGAAAAAAATATGAAGGATCAATTTATATAACTATTATTGCGACCTAAATAAATTACAGAAGGTCGGTTCAAATTTTCAAAAGTGATGTAAATATCCTGGTTAGTTACCGTTAATATTGGACCATACCTTTAGTAGGTATAAAATACGGGAGAACAACAGTGGGATTATGATCTTTAAATACACCACGTGTTGAGAAGTGTCTATCTTCGATCGACAGAATGCGATTCTTATGTAATGTCTCTTTCTATTCAACACGTAACGTGTCGAACGAAGATAGCCGTTTCATACGTGCCGTATTGAAAGATGAGCATCCCACTGCTGATGTTATAATTTATGTAAATTGATATTTAAAAATATTTTTTTTTATCATTATACCTTATGCTGTATATTTGTATTCAGTTACATTAAACTGGATAAGAAAGGGATGTACATCATAAACGTCACTGGATATAATTACCGTATTAATATTATTATTAAATCAATAAAACAATTAATATTGTTGCGTTAATTTTGTGCAGGTGTATTTATAAAAGTATTTGCATATAATAATATTCTCCCTTTAAGTGTATATTTTTTTAAACTTAATGCTTTAAGAGGATGAACTTTCTGCTCTTTCAGATTTTAGATTTCAAAAGCAACACTCTATTTATTTTTTTATTGTTTATATTACAATAACTGTAAAATAGTTGGTTGTCTAGTTTATTTTTATTTTTAACATCAAGAAATAATTTTCAAAATAAACCGTTTTTATTCATTTTAGTAAAAATGTTACTCAAAAATTGTTTATTTACTGTTTTTCTATTGGTCAATAAAGATGGGACAAAAAATATGTGGGCACATAAAACCAATAATAATGAACATACAAAATAAAAATGATTCATTGCTTCTATGTGAAAAAAAAAACCGTTTCCAAAATGTAAGGTTAAAGACATAAATAAGAAAAGAAGTATAATTCAAACAGATAGAGGATATTTTGCCTTTATCAAAAAATGTTGGTTATAATATTGTATTCAAATCCATTATTTGAGAACAAGACGATATCAGATTTACCCATACTCCTCTATAATCCTCTATATCCATAGGTAAATGTCTAAATATCTATATAAATCCTGTTTTAAAGCAATTATACCTATACAGAGGTGTAGGTACTCCTAATTCAAATATCTTATCATCATTTTAAATTTGTAAATATTATTGTATTATATTTTTCATTTTTAACTCGTTTTGTATAATGAACT